ACAAAATGGTTTTCTGGTTTTTGTGAAGAAGCCAGTCACTCCAGAAGGGCATGTATTTAAAGTTTTTTTTTTTAATTTTTTTTTCATTCCAGCATATCTGCACACACAAAAACTAAGGATGCACTTCATCTGCTCTGAAAGAAACAAAACACCAAAACAAGGCCTTGGAGCCATTTCCCTTATCCCTGGCTCAGGCGCTTGAGTTAACTAGCTAAACCAGAAAGGAAGGTCTTTAAATGGCCCAACAATTCATTGCTCCTCTTGCATCCCCCTACCCCAATAACATAAATATGTATTGTGTTCTGAGTTTATTGTCAAATCCTCCTTCACACTCAGTGAAAATGAAAGTACTTAGATCTGTTTAGAAAGGGTAAAAGAGATTATTTTACATAATCCCACTAAACACCCTGTGAGGCTCTTCTTTAATGTCCTTGCTTAAAATGGTATTTCCTCCCTCATATCTCTCAAGTGCATGACTTAACATATGTTTATGCTGGCTATTCAGCAGAAAAACGCCAAATGAATTTTTCTAATCCTTGCTTTCAAATATATGTCGGGCCATGTTTACGGAAGACATGGACTTGGACAGTGACGCACAAACCATATTCCATACTTAGGAGAGAAAGAACGCTACATGTCAATAGGAACTTTTTTTCCTCCTTGTGATACAGGGGCCAGTCTTTGGATGCCTGTGTTAACATTTTTCTAGCAAGCTCATTTCTTATTGGATTTCACTGCCTTTTGCATAAGTTGCTGATGTTAGGATAAGCTGCCGAATCGGAAGAAACACTTATTACACACCAACCTGTTGATATTTAGGTTTCAGTTGTGTTGCCGTTTGGGGGGGGGGGGCCAGAAAGGAAGCTCCTCCAAGAGCGCTAAGTTAAACACAAACTATGAGATAATATTTAGGGCAATATTCTAATGCATTAAGCAAACTCCCTCGAGGCTTCAAGTCTGATCCATTTAGGTGCCGTCATTTTTTTATGATCCAAAAGAGCTCCCCCTCCCACCTCTAACCTAAGATGTGTCTTACACCACCCTGCTAGTTAGGAAAGCCATTAAATTCTTGTAGATTGAAGGTGGAAAAATAAATTGTGTGTATTTTAGACCCTGAATGATCTTCCTCTAGCAATTTTAGAACAAACTATGAAGAATTCTGCAATTTTAATCTCCTCAGTAGCTTCCCATTACTAAACGAGCAGAGCGCCGCGGTACAAATGTCGATGTTACATGTCATCTTGATCTGCTGCTTTTTTCTTTCATTAAAGCTTTAATGCAGCAATTATGGCTACGTTGCCCTATAAAAAAAGGGAAAGGCAGTTTCCTTTAAAAAGTGAAATTGCATAGCCTACTATTTAATTATACAGAAATGTAAATGGCCTATTTTTCCATAACTGGTTATTACTGCACTGTTTTACTTTCTGAGTTTTCACAATCTCTAAAACCTACAAAGCTTCCTGCTATATAATTGTTTTGTTACATTATTGTTTTCATCTTATTTTTTCTTTTAATGTGAGTGCAGCAGGATAAATCTTGGTTTTAAGCCAGCCAGTACTTCATCTACTTAAGCTTTTATAGATGAAGATTGCTGTAATTATCAGAATACCCGCTTATTTCTGAAGTATTATCTTGGCAACCTGCTGGCATTTACAACCAATTAACAAGCTTTGCCATTAGTTGCATAAGGGGTATCGCGGAGTAAACCCATTGTGTGCTAATTTTCTATTTTAGATAATCAGTTTGGCCATCCAGAATGGAAAGAGGAAGAAAAGGAAAGGTTTGACACTCAGTGGCAGACATGGAAAAATTACTACCTGCCTCCCAGAGACAAAGGTATCCAGCAACTCGGGGATTGTTTCCTTGCTGTCACTATTGGTTCTTAAGTAGTTCCCTTTGTCTCTCTTGGAAGATAAAAAAGTGGGGATTCAGCAAAGTAATCATGTCCTCTCTCTCTTTAAACTGACTGGCTTCTCTTACTGTCTTGCCCATTGCCCATAATTTCACCAAATTGTTCAAGTGTTAAGCACTTTTAAAAAACATAGAAAGAAAGAAATTGTCCACTAGTTTAAAAAAAAACGTGCCCTTCCCCCTCTTGCAATTAGAGTAAATTAATGCAGGGCTTCCTCAAACTAGGGTGTCTCCAAATTGGTCTGTGAGCTAGGTTTTGTTCAAGTGGAATGTTTGGCCTTTATACTGTGCCTTTTAACTGGTCTCTGATATTAATATATCTTGAAGTTTGAGAGAAAGAAGATGTTTCTGATTTGAAGTGAAAAGTTGCTCGACTAAAGTGAGAAAATGTTGTCCCAGAACAGGACTTGTGGCAAGGGAGGGAACACATGACCCTGACACTGGTTCCTTGATATTGGATCCTTGGCAATAGTTACGGACTACTCACTTTTCCCAAATGTTCACCATTCTCATCTGAAGTGCAGCATGTGCAAAAGAACTGCTATCCATCCCCAGGGGTTACTTAATCCTGGGTAATTAAATGCCCAATGAGACTGGCAAAAAAAAATGGCATTTTAAAATTAGCATTTTTGACTACTCATCTATTTACACAAAATCCTTATGTCAAGTTCCTTTGTAAAGCACCATAGACATTCAGGACACTTTCAAAGTTGGCTATCACAAGTTTTATTAGGTACTTAAAGTAGACCTCAAAAATAGACCAGCCTTTCTTGTAAGTTTACTATTTGTTGAGATGAATTGTCATGGGGAGCATGGAAAGTTAGCAGAAGAGACTAGATGTGTGAGAGAGTTTGAGGGTGAGTAAGGAGAGAGAGAGAGAGAGAGAGAGAGAGAGAGAGAGAGAGAGAGAGAGAGAGAGAGAGTGTGTGTGTGTGTGTGTGTGTGTGTGTGTGTGTGTGTGTGTGTGTGTAAAAATAGAGGCAGATAGACAGACAGACACAGAGGAAGCCTGACTGCATTCAGGTCCCACTTCTATGTAACAGGTACTTGCCCATGGTCATACAGGTATGTGAGGGATGAAGGACCTTAACCTAGGTCTTCCTGACTCCAAGGCCAGAGCTCCATCTACCATGCAAAGCTGCCTTTAATTGACAGATGACATAGATATAAATATACATATATAATTTATATATAAATTATAGAGATATTTTTCTATAGATACAGGCACAATGATATATACTCAGAGAACGTTTGAAACTGGTAGGCACTTAAAAAATCTTTGTCCAGGAGTTCAAAGATCGTTGGTATAAATAAGCAAATCCATAATAATAATAATAATAAAAAACATTAGGTACAAAGAAACTAAATCCAAACCTGGTCAGGGCACAGTATTAACCACAATAGAGTTTAGGGTCATAATTGGACATGATAAATTTTGCACTATGTGTGGTGCAGCATATGAACATACACAAATAGCACAGTAACCTAAGACCATTTATGCTACTAAGGAAAAAATTACTTAAAATGCTGTGAATAAACATTCGTACCAAAGGCCTCAACACCACATCATCACTGAACATCCTTGCTTAAGGCAAATCCAAATGACTTGTCTCTGGGTGCTTTTATAATGCTCTGGTCATTAATGGCAAGTTACCTGTATCCATTAGGAGATAGTTTGATGTTACTCGAAAAGAACCAGAAGAGTTACGTGTAAGAGGGGTTTTTTGGTTGTTGTGTCTGCACTGTATATATTTAAAATGTTTGTTTTTGATGAGACCCTTTTAAAACATTTTTATATTGTTCCTCTAGGATTGTTTTATGGAACTTGTATGTTGCTCTCTTTGCTTAGTTCCTGGGAAAGAAATTATAGCCTGCACTCTTTACCAGGTTCACAAAGCCAGATCACAGCCAGCAAAAATTATAATAGTAGAACCTCAAGTAATATCTTGGAAATGGCTACTGTTGTTAAATTCAACAGGTGAATGAGAGGGCCTTTCCTCAGTCTTGTGCGCTGAAAGAAGTACTCAGGGGAAAGAAGGAATGGCCACTCACTTCTCTGTTCCCCTTTCTCCTTCTCTATTTATATCTGAATAGAGATACTTTTGCTCATTTCCACTGGGGCAGATGAAGTGACAGTAGAGGAAAGGAGAAGCCCAGTGAATGCTTGTGAGGAGGCAGTGTGTAATGGAGAGGGAGGTGTAATGGACATGGCTTCAGGAGGACAAGGATTTTGATCCCACCTAAACTGGCTGTGTTACCCTGGATGAGTCCTTTGATATGCCTCAACCTCAGGTTCTTCATCTGTTAAATGAGGCTAATAATTCATGTACTTTCCTTTAATAATTTCCTTTAATAATACTTTCCTTTCAGGCTTTTCATGAGAATCAAAATAGACAATGTATAAAAATTGCTTTGAAAACCATAAAGAAATATGTAAATTTCAGTTATTGCATTAACTTTTCCAGAAGCATAAGTAAAAATGATCCATCTCTTTTCTTCACAACAACAGCTAGAACAACATTTTATATAGCACTTTAAGATTTACAAAGTACTTTATATATGTTATCTTATTTGAATAGATGTACAAGGACTACAGCAGAGCATGATTAATCTGAAATTCATACTTAATAACAGATCATAAATAACAGGTTTCTTATGATCTTGGGGGAGGGGACTTACAGGGAATTCTTTTATGTATAATGCTAAATTATCTTCCAGTGAAATTAGATGAGATAAATAGCAATAGTAAAATGGGGGGGTGGGGGGCAGCACTTTACATTGAAAAATAGATTGGGTATTTAGCTAACCCCACCATCTTCCAGTGACTTGCCAAAATATCTAACATGGGAGGAAAAAAGGAGAGGGAATCTGAGCACAGTCTCTAGGCCCTTTCATAAAAATTGTAGTGTCTCTTTGATTATGTATACGTAAATCTACAAGAAGGATAAGATTGTAGCTATACAGAGCACATGCATAGTTCAGTAACCCCATAAATATCACCATGACAGGACTGGATGGGTCCATGATGTCACTGAACATGTCATAGACAATGTTGTAAACAAACAGACTAAGGGTAAGATTCTGGCCAAGAGAATTAAGGTGTATGTTAAGGATATTAAATATTCTAAGAGTGGGAAGAGCTTCCTGAAGTGCTAGGAGAGAAATGATCAGAAGAAAAAGGAAGCCAAAGGAAAAAGCACCTGGTTTCAACTGAAGGGTCAGCCTGCCTCACCAGAGAGATAGCTTTGTAAGAACCAGTAATAAAGAACCTGAAGTATCGGAACCAATCTCCTATGAATGTATGGCATAAAAAATAAGATCTTTGGATTATAAGATATATTATATGTACATATATATATATGTATATATATACAAGATAAATATATACAAGATATGCCATATATACATATATACAAGATATATAGATATATAATATATATATAAGAAAAGAAAAACAGATTGATCCTCCAATCTAGCCACTGATGTTTATGTCCTAACCTGATTTTACTTTTCAGAATTAGTGCCATTCGATACATCAGAATGCATCAACCAGGTAGGGAGTGATCTGCTTCTCTGAGGTTTTTAAATTTTTATTTTTTCCTTTTCTTTTTGGTAATGTTATGATGTATTAGCATTTTCTTTAGTCAATTATTCCATCAACAAGCCCTAAGTACCTACTCTGTGCCCACGGAGATAACCTAATACTAAATGTATCAGGGTGACCAAGACTATGGGAAGGTAGAGTAACTGAGGTCAGAGGATCACAGATTTAGAGCCAGAAGGGATCTTGGAGGTCATGTAGTCCAAACTCCTCATTATAAATGAAAAAAAAAAATTAAGCCCACAGAGGTGAAGTGACTTGTGGCTGAGCCAGGATTCAAACCCAGGTCTGCTGATTCCTAATCTGGCAATTTTTCCAATGTCACATAAAATGTGTGAATTCCCAAATAACTTAGCAAATAATTTTAGGGTCTCTTCAAAGTCTCTTAAATCCCCAGTTTCAAGGTTCACAACTAATAATGATCTTTGGAATATTGGCTTTTCAACATTTCCCTAAGATAGGGGAAAAAATGCCAACTAATTCAAAATTTCCATTTAATGAAAAATATTAAAGGATTGGTGAAATACTCACTTTAAACCATTTTATTCAATAGCATTGGCATATTTCTGGAAATATCTTGAAGATTTTATTCAGTTACTAGAGTCAAAACTTTTTTTTAATCTTTTTAAATAAATTTTTAAACTTATTATTTATTAACATTTATTTTTTAAATTTTTTTGACTTTTGAATTTTGTCCCTTTTACTTATTGAGAAGGCAAGAAATGTGATATCAATTATACATTTGAAATCATGCAAAATATATTTTCAAACTGATAGGCATCCCCGCGATTTCACCACAAAAAGAACTGTTATAAATATAAATTTTTTATGTATACTTCTTTTTCTTTTTTTTTCTATTTCTTTGAGATATAGACCTAGTAGTGGTATTGCTAGGTCAAAAGGTATGCGCAGTTTTATGGCCCTTTGGGCATATTTTCAAATTGTTTTACAGAATGGTTGGATTCATTCACAATTCCACCAACAGTGCAATAGTGTCCCAATTTTTCCACATCTCCTCCAACACTTGTCACTTTCTCTTTCTGTCATATTAGCCAATCTGACAAGTGTGAGGTAATACCTCAGAGTTGTTTTAATTTACATTTCTCTAATCAATAGTGATTTAGAGCATTTTTTTCATATAACTATAGATAGCTTTAATTTCTTCTACTGAAAATTACCTATTCATATCTTTAGACATTTATCAAATGAAGAATGACTCACATTTTTATAAATTTGACTCCATTTTCTATATATTTGATAGCTGAGTCTTTTATCAGAGAAACTTGCGATAAAATTTTTTCCCATTTTTTTACTTTCCTTCTAATCTTGGCTGCATTGGATTTTTTTTTTTTGTGAAAAACAATTTAAGTTAATGTAATCAAAATTATCCATTTTACATCTCATGATCCTCTCTATCTCTTATTCAGTCATAGATCTGACAGGTAAAATTTCTCATGCCCACCTAATTTGTTTATGATATCACCCTTTATTCCTAAATCGTTTATCCATTTTGACCTTATTTTGGTATATAGTGTGAGTTTTTGGTCTATGCCTAGCTTCTGCCCAACTGCTTTCCAGTTTTCCCAGAAATTTTGTTAGCACTTTGACACTACTAGTATATTCATCCTTAAAGTTAGAAATGAAAATGCGGCAGCATCACAGTCTAAAACCATTAGTCAGAGGACAGTTTCAGCTTTGATATGAGGCCTTTCTATTATATAATTGCACCTTCTAATTTTAAAACAAATCCAGAACATAACTTGCAACTTGGAAACCTCAAGGTCAGATTTCCATTGCTATTGAAAGGTGAAATTAACTTGATCGCCACATTGTCTCATCAGAGTTTCCAAGTGGCAGTCATCAACTGAGTGTTATGCTTTTGATTATATTTAAGACAATTATTTTAGTGGGGCTTTTTTAGAGTTGGCAAGAGAATAAGAAACATTTTTATATCACAGTTTCTTTTAAAAATTAATGAAGGATAATAACGTCTTGCTGGATCATCTTCTATCAACTTAACTTCCATATTTTGCTTTATTATTTTAAATTAATTAATGTCAGATCTAGTCATGGAACAATGTCAGTGTGAAAGTGCTCTGCAGCAGATTAATGGCAGTAAAATCTCCTATAAAATATATTTGAAGAACATAAAGGAAAAAATAAGAATAATTATAATGTATTTATGTTTCTAGCCCAATAATTTAGAACACATTTTAATTGTTATTGTTTTCCACAATGCTAAATCAAAACATACTTTCAAGGGAATGTTAACCCACATAAGGACTTGAAGTCATCTGCATTTCCTCAGCCTGCTTTCTTAAAGTTTGAGTGGTCAGGGATAATTTGTGAAATCAAAAGAGATGGGGGCTCCCTAACTCAGTCAGAATGCCAGTACATCAGGTTCTATGTATCCTATAGTAAAATGGCCAATCAGATCAGTCCAATTAAACCAAATGTAGAATTGTTTTCAGAGCTAAAATCCTTTCCAAATATTAGACTGTCGAATCTGATAATATTAAATAAAGCCATGGGGAAAAAAAAGAAATACTTTCAAAGTACCTCTATGCATATCAATAATTATTGATAACACTTGAATAATTTTCTTTTTTTTACAGTTTGTAGAAAAAGTTCCTTTTTATATATTCAAGGTAGAATAAAGTCCATGTAACCTTTCTAATGCCATGAGGTCATTTAGCTTATGATGATGTTTCCGGCATGTTCATGAAGAGAGCCTGAATCAAGCAGGAGCATAACAGTACCTGTATACGCATGCATTCTGAAATAGACTTAGAAGTGCTACCAATTTTTGTTTCATAGGAAATAAGGCAGGCAGGGTAGGGGAATGGTGCTTGGACAAAACAAATACTCACACCCTTGGATCAAACATTAATCTGCCACAGAGCACTTTTGATCTGACATCATCCCATGATTAGACCTGATATTAACACAGGGAAGTACTGACCAACTTCTCTGGCTTGAAGCATATAGAATACTGGGGAGGAAACACATGCTTAGTGAAGTTCAGCCAGCAAGAAAGGCTACAAGGAAATGATGACAGCCAATAGGTAAGTGAGGCTAGTTAAGGAGAGAAATCACGATATGGGTGAAAATAGAGGGGGACTACACGTGGTTGAGCTAAAAGTGGGAAAGATGAGAGTGATCATTTTCTAAGTATAACTAGAGTGGAGCTATCAGAATTTTGCTAAAGGTAGAAGGGGGAAGAAATTTGTTTCCATGTGGACATGCTTCCTCTTAGCAATGGAGGAAGCCATTACTGCCATCCTGGCATTCTGTGGTCCTCCCCTAGCCTGTCACTTAGCATGAACCTGCTCCCTCATGAGATTCTACCTCTCACCTTTGTCTAGGGTCCTTTTATTGCATTATCTTTCCCTTGGGTCAGTCTTCAACCTTTACCTCCTACAAGGGCAAAGGCAGGTATCTGGGGAAATGGGCCAACTCCTTTCCCAGACAACTGAACTCACGAGTTAAATTCCCTCCTTCCCCTCCAACACCATGCCCTTCCCCTTCTGCTGCATTATCTGCAGTACCACCACACTCCACTCCAACCTGCCCCATTGCAATGCCTCCCTTATTGCCCCATCCCCTATCCTAGGGTGAAAGAACTTCTAAGTATGGCTATAGAACAATGAGTAGCTGGAAACAGAAGAATACATGAATAAAAAAGGATTTATGAAGCTCTTACTAAGTACCAAGAACTGTGCTAAGCAGTAGAATGGGAATGAGAGCTGGACTATAAAGGGTTGTTTACTTTCCAGGGGAAAAGAGTGAAAAGAAATTGATGCAGAATGGGTCTTGGAAAAGGCAGTTAAAATGAGCAAAGTATGGTAGAAGTCAGGAGCAGCAGTACTTCCAAAACAGGGTTGGTACGTGAGAAACCAATGAATATATGGTTTGGTTGAGCCCCTGAAGCTCTGCTTACAAGAAGGGGACTGCCAGGAATATCTCAGCTCCAAATCGGGTAAATTTCTTGATTCTTAAAGCCAAATCTTCTGAGTTGGAGTCAATAGTCAATGAACACTTATTAACCACCTACAATATGCCAGGCATTGTGCTAAGCACTGGGGATACAAATAGAAATAAAGAGTACTTGCTCAAAAAGGATGGGGAAAATAACACTCAAAAAAGGAAAGTGAAAAGCTGGTGGGTGGGGCTGATGGGAGGGACTAAAGAAGGTATCAAGTACTAGGGCATGTTGGAAAAATCCAAAGTCCAAAAACAACGTAGCTGGTGGGAAATGGGAAGAAGACTGCACTGGGGCACTTCCTTAAATGAAGGTCCAGGAGCATATAACTCTGACCCCTGGTCAGAGAGTCCAATCAAAGGGGCAAAGGGTATGGATGAGAAGAGAATATCAAGGTTTATTTAATCTTGCAAGTAAATGGGATTTGTCAGTGATAAATTTCCTGGGGAAGGCATAATGGAGAAATCCAAAAGCAAAGCAGCTGGTGAGAAATGGGAAGCAATGGAATATCTCTAGGCAAATGAGAATATATACAACATAATTTTTTGGTGGGAGTGGGGGGATCCCATGTAGCAGGTGAAATCAACTAATGTAGGAGGTAAACCTTGAGATGAGTTTTGAAGGAAACTAGGGATTCTAAAAGGAAGTGATGAAGGAGAACCTGTGAAAAAAACAAGATGGTAGATGGAATGTCACATGTGAAAAATAGCATGGGGCCCAGTTTGGCTTCTGTGAAGAGGAGTAATGTATATAAGGCTGGAAAGGTAAGTTGGGTCAGGTTGTGAGGACTTTACATAACAAACAAAGGTATTTATATTTGATCCTCAAAGTATTAAGGAATTGCTCCAGTTAATTGAGCAAACATATTCAGACAGGCCTGAGCTTTAGGAAAATCACTTGAGCAGCTATGTGAAGGACTGACTAGAGAAGGAGACTGAGGCAATGAGGCCAACTAGGATTTTATTATAAA